AGTCACTATTCATTTTATATCACCCAACACTGACCGCTCAGTGTCATGGATAACATCGCCAGAGTTATCAGTATATTAATTATTGATATATTAATAACTCATGAACTCTCGCACTTTAGACTGGTAGCGCTGATCAGAGCGCCTCACTGTGTCTGCCTTTTAATATTGCTGCTGTTTGTTTTATTGCTGCTTCTATTCACCTTATTATTTATTTATGTATATGCACATGTTTTAGAAGTATTTCATTTAATTCATTCATTACTTTAGCGCTGCACCTTTTTATATTTCAAATAAACTAGGGTGCCTGCAACCAACATATAGTGGTACACTATAGTGGGAACACTTTGTTGGTTGCAGCCACCCTAGTTTTTTAATTGTACTGATTTCTATTGATTTTCACTGTGATTTATTCGTTATTATTCAATAATTCATATAGTGTGAACATTTTGTTGGTTGCAGCCACCCTAGTTCATTTACTTTTATTGATTTCTATTGATTTTCACTGTGATCTATTAGTTATTATTTCATTAGCTTGATACGTTATATAGCAGCCATGGAATAATCACACTTTTATCATTAGGCAACATCACATTAATTGGCTTATTTCATGAAGAGGAAACTATACTATCTCTTATCGACTCTCCATTCCTGCCTGTAATCCTTGGATATCCGTGGTTGCAACTACACAACCCTTCATTTGATTGGTTTAATAGGGAGTTAACCTCTTGGGGCACATACTGCCAGCAGAACTGTGTACTTCGTCCCCACAGTTTACTGACTTTTACTGACTTTTGTGTCCATACCTACCACCTTGCCACAGGAATATCATGACTTTACGGATGTCTTTTGCAAAAAGAGAGTTGAGGTACTGCCCAAACACCATTCTTTTGACTGTGCAATTAACCTGATCCCAGGGGACACCTCTTCCGAAAGGAAAGAGATATCCCTTGTCACAGCCAGAACAAAGATCTGTGGAAGAATGCATTCCGTACAACTTAGAGGTTTTATCCATCCCTCTTCCTCTCCAGTGGGTGCTGGATTCTTTGTTAAAAAAAAGATGGTGGACGTCCATTTATAGACTATTGAGGTTTAAACCAAATCACTGTAAAGGACTCTTATTATTTGCCCCTTATCCTGAAATTGTTTGCCTTCCTGAAAGGAGCCATTCAACAAGCTGGACCTGAGAGGGGCCTACAACCTGATCCTCATAAGAGAAGGTGACAAATGGAAGACAACATTTTACACTCACAATGGATATTTTGAATATCTAGTAATGCCTTTCGGGTTCTGTCTTTCATGGACGAGGTGTTCCACGACTTCAGAAACAATTTTGTAATAATCTATTTGAATGACATCTTAGTCTTTTCCAAGACACTCATGGAACACATTTCCCATGTGAAACAGGTACTACAGTGACTGTGTGAGAACCACCTCTACGCAAAGATCAAAAAATGTAGCTTTCATCAAACCTGTATATCATTCCTGGGTTATAGCATGAGCCCTGAGGGTTTTCAAATGGACCTGCAAAACCTTGCAGCTGTCCTGCAGTGGCCACAACTGAACACCTTGAGAGGGCTTCAGAGCATTCTGGGCTTTGCCAACTCTTATAGATGCTTTATCAAAAGGTTTTACCACCATTTCCACATCCCTTACTGCCATGACTAAAAAGGGGGCCAATTGTAAAGTGTGGCTTTCCAAAGCAGTGTCAGCTTTCCAGCAGCAAATAGAAATGTTCAAGAAGGTTCCAATTGAAATGAGTTGGGGCTGGTGTGATGCTATCACAAAGGCAACCAAAAACTGGTAGAATTCATCCAGTTGCCTTTTTCTCTAAAAATAAAAAAAATATTCTGCTGAGGTTAATTATGGTGTTGAAAACTGAGATCTACTGGCCATTAAATTCGCTTTGTCTGAATAGAGGCATCTTCTGGAGGGGACTTTAAAACCTTTTTCTATATTGACTGACCACAAAAACCTATTGTATCGCCAGACAGCCAAACGTGATTGTGATGCCAGGGTGGCCAGACAGTACGTCACAATCACGTCAAGCTCAGTGGGCTCTTTTTTTTCTTTTTTTACCCGTTTCAACTTTATCCTTTCTTATATTCCAGGACACAAAACAAAAAATCTGATGCTCTGTCTGAAATAGCTTTGGCCAACAAGCAGTACATTATTCCACCTAAAAAAAATCCACGCACAGATCTCCACAGCTCTGTCACAGCAGTTGCAGGAAGCCCAGCATCATGTCCCCTAAGGTCTGAAGGTACCATCTATTTGTACCCTCTAGCTTCAGGAAAGCTGTACTTCTATGGGCTCATGATGGAGTACTGTCTGGCCACCCTGGCATCACAATCACTTTAATGACTTTAAAGCATCATGTTTGGTGGCCAGGTGAAGAAGGATGCTTTTGACTATGTCCAATTTGACCACACCTCGACAGCCTTGGACCCATTTGACTATGGACTTTATCACAGAGCTACCCAAATCTGCTGGAATGCCTACAATTTGGGTTATAGCGGATCATTTTTCTAAAATGACTCACTTTGTGCCACTATCTAGACTATCTACAGCCGAAGCACTGTTGTCTCATATTGTAAAACATCATGGGATACCTACCTACATTGTGTCTGATTGGGGATTCCAGTTCATCTCCTGATTCTGGGCTGCCTTATGTAAATAGTTGGGGGTAACAGTGTCCCTTTCTACCGCACACCACCCACAAACTGACGGCCAAACCGAACATATGAACAAGACTCTCATGACCTACCTTTGGCACTATTTTAATTCATTACAGTCTGATTATCCTGAATATTTGCACTTAGCTGAGCTTGTCATTAATTCCTGCTGGCATAGTGCCCTTCATATTACACCTTTCTATGTAGCTCTGGGCTATCACCTACATACTTTCCCTGTGCTGAAGCCTTCTTCTGGAGTATTGGCAGCAGACCTATGAGTGAAAGACATCTTACTACGCTGGAGAAAGGTCCGCCTACTTTTACAAAAGGCAGCAGGCATATATCAACTGATAAACGAAGGCGCCATATACCTCTGTATGCAGTGGGAGATAGAGTGTGGTTATCTGCCAAGTATGTGAGACCGAAGTAACATCCTTTCAAGTTGGGCCCACGATTTATCGCCCCTATAGGATCATTTCTTGTCTTGGGTCAGTCTCTTACTGCCGGAAATTGCTACCTTCACTCTGGATACACCCAGTCCTCAAAAACCTCAACAACCATCTCCTCTTTTCTCCTGAATTAGGAGCATGAATTGAGTATAGTTTCTAAAATCTTGGATTCAAGAAGGTGGGGCCGTGCCATACAGTATACTGGAAGGGATACCCCATGTCTGATCAATCTTGGGTTACCGCCAGAGACATACATGCTCCTGCCCTTATTGAGAACTTTCATGCCACCTTTTCCACAAAACCCCACTAGGCCCCCTGCAGGGGTCCATGGGGGGGGGGGGGCTGTGATGTGCCTGGGTTTTAACCTGGGTCTTCTGGCTCTGTGCTGTGGTCCTGTTCACTCTATCACTGGGGAATCTGATTCTCTGCAGCTTACACTCTGCTTAGTACATCTGCTCCAGGGACTGTCTAGCTCCATCTGCCTTCCAGCAGGCTCACTCCCCAGCCAATACACCACTGTCAGTTTTGTGCATTATTGTGCATTGCAGTAATGTACAGTAAAGCATACATTTTACTACATGTTGCCCCAAAGCACAGATGTAAATCCACCCATAATGTTTCCTTATTTGTGTGTTCAGATACTAAAAGTAAACTTCGGGAAAACTAAAAATCCTGAGCCTGCAAGAGTTAACTACTCACTTATGTCTAGGGGAACTGGGAAAGCAGTTTTAATTATCTAACCCTCTACTCCTGCAGGCTACTCCATGTTAATAAACCAGTCCCTGAAGCCTCTTCTCCCCTGCATTCCAATGGTCAAAGGTCCACTGATGTCAACAGAACTGATGCAGGCCCCTGAACCCTGCACTGAATATAAGGATGATGAGGGACAGTCCACTGTTGGAGCATAGGGGAACAGCATCTGCAGTGGGAGCAGAGGTTCAGGTAAGTGAAAGTGCTTTTCCTGTCCCCTAGACAGAAATGAGCATTTAACCCTTGCAGTATAAGCATAGCCCCACTGCAAGGGAGAGTTTTTAGTTTTCCCGGAGTTGGGCTTTAAATATTTACTGTTCTAGCGTTTACGTATTTCGAGGGATGGTTGATCAGTAAATGCAATAATAATAATTTTTCTTACGCCTTCATTTGTATAGCTCTTCTTACTCACTGTCAACAGAAAGCTCTGTACATTTCTTTTGCATCGCATTACAGGGTACATTTACATCAACAACATATCCTTTCCTTGACCTTTGCAAGGGAATTTACTCCAGAGCTTAGTGAATGTGGTGAAGTTTCACTTTGAAAAAAAAACACCCAATCAAATGAAAGGAAAATAAAGAAACAGCATTTTTGCTTGTACATGGAATTGAGCAGAGCTTCATGTCATTCACTAAGCTCTGGGGCATATCCCTTTACAAAGTGCAACTTCCCTTGCAGAGTAAACAGCCTACTTGCCTTTAGTAAATCAACCTTATAGTAGTGATTTAATATTTAAAGTGTTAAATAACGATGATGCGTCCTGAATTTACTCTTTTATTGTCAGATGAATTTGTTTATTGAGGAGAGCTGACTTCTAGTCGTTAAGTGACCCACTCAGTTGCCTAAAAAATCTAAATTTTCCAAAAGTATTGACGTAGTCTTGACGCAAAAGATAGAGTCTTACATTGAGACAGCAGGCTTAAATACGTTTGTTTGACTGTAGTAACTGTTTTAATAAAATACATTGATTTGATTGATTATTCTGAATACAGTATGATTTTAAATGAACAATTTTATAGGTATTACATAAAATTGATTTAATTAAGATATATATTTTCAGTAATATAAAGATCAGTTACAAATATTTTGCATTTACTGGTGTACACTCACTTTATCTCTGCTGTAGATTTTTTCTTACAGATTCTCAAAAACGTTACTTTGAAAAAGTATCGCTTTACTGTGACAAATATGCTGAACAAATCCCAGTAACATTTGTTTTAGGTAAGTGGTGGCCTCCAGTGGAAAAGTCTACACAGAAGTGTTTACCAGTGCAACAGACCCTGACCACAGCAACACTGATGCACATTTTGGAATCTGCATTCAAAAAGCAGTTACGTAAACTAAAGTGGTCCATAGACATGACAGTCAACAGATCCAACTGCCAGACTGTAATTCTTTCAAATTATCATGGCATAAACACATTGACATATCAGTCTTGTGTACATGTTTATGCACTGAGCAGATGCCTTAGTGGTGTGTTATGTTTAGGAGGATCAGTAGCAACTGCCTAGGAAAACCCATCCTAGCTGCTTCTTCTTCCCCCCAGATCAATCAGCCAAAGGAGTAACCACAGATAATGTAAACTCGAGTCTATAAGCAAGTTTATTCTCTTAATTGCATTCTTTTCTTTTTTTTGTGTTACTTAATATTTGTTCTGATCTGTTTGCCAATGTGCAATTATAGGTTCTAATGGGAAAAATGACATGTAGTAACCCTGAATTCTATTTTTTTATGCTACTCTTTATGCTATGTCTTTCAGTGCATTTGCTTCATTGTTCTAGCTTTCTCTGGCTCATTGAACACCTTTGTGCACTTGACAGTCACAATTGCTTTTTTTTCTCATTTGGAGCTTAACCTCATAATTAACAAGTAGCAGTGAATGTTCATGTGTTAAAACCAAATTTACTGTAATACAATACCAAGATGCTTGTGAGCATATATTATGTCTCTTCACTTAGTGTTTCCATCTGTTTTTGTCTCAGTAGAAGAAATAATGAATCGAATAATGGTACATGGCCTATCTGCTAAGTGCTGCCTGACAATGCTGACTCTAAGCTCCAGATAATCAGAATGGCAGGATAAGCTTGTGTACACACCAGGAAAACAGTTTGCTGGTACAATTCTTGTCTACAGTACAGATTCCACCAAGGCTATAGTAGCAAGAAAAAGTTAGGCACCACTATGTGAGATGAGAAATTAATCTCATGCCACCCTTTAATGGTGCCCTTAGACTTGGACCTTGCCTCAAAAATGGAATAGCATTTTCAGACAAACCCAACATACAGTAGGGGCTTATCCAAATGATGGGTGAGCTGTGCCCTTTAGAGGAAGCTTACTGCTTGGAACTTGTTAAGCAACTGGCCAGCCTTGTTGTCCCAATGGTAGGTCCAATTTATCTCTATAGACAAAGTGCAGTTGGGTTCAGGGACAGACAATGGTTGGAGTGGAAAAGTGGAAGGAGAGGCAACTGTACAAATGTTTACCAGGCTATGGTTACTAAGGAGGATCAACAAAAATAATTTGGGTGAAGGATATTTAGGCATATACTTAGTTAAAACAGCAACTTTTGGCTTTTGGTCAATATTATAATATAGTAACTATGTATTTTTATAACTAGCCTATTTAATTAACATCTTTTAGAAGAAAAAAAGCTTGTAAAATCCCACAGGAGTTCTTGTGCACATAGCATGTGTCCCCTTAAAAATCTGAGCAGTGGATAAATAAAATAAATATGTCTTCTCTGTCATTGCTAGCTGTGGCTCCACCCCTCAGACCTAAAAAAATATAGATGTTCCCATAGGAGGAGTTCCCATGTTACTGAGCCCCCCCACCACCACCACCGCTCTATTCTGCAGCGCCTGTCTCCTCATCTGTCTTGTTCAGTATACTGGGTCTGGAGCTGCAACCTGTTATTCAGGGCACAGAAAGTGGAAATGGTCAGCTAGTGTTGTGAATGATTGCAACTCAAGAACAACACTTTCATTTCCATACAAAAACACAAACTGACAACAGCACACACTGGCTACTACACTGGTCTGGGGTGGCCTAATATAGTACTTCCATAACACAGCTCTGTGGACACTGCCTGTTATGCCCCTTGTCCTCCTGGGCTGTCACTCAGAACTCTCCTTTGATCAGTGTTGTCAGATAGTTAGGCAAGTGGGTGGAGCTTGCTATCCAGCAACACCGTTCAGTAACTCCTGCAGGAATTTAGATGGGGACACAAGATGGGGGGGGGGGGGGTTAACAAGCTGCCCTTTCTTCTGGAGATAGGTCTTCTTTAAGGATTTAGGTTTTCCATAGCTTTCCCAAGAGCATTCAAAAACATTTTTATGCTGGAGGACAATAAAATTGATGTTTCATCATAATTGTCTATCTCTACATTATATCCAATTATGCTGTGGTCTGCTAATCTAAAACTATGTTTCAACATGTATTCTTGCATATGAGTAGCTCTTGAGGTGGGTATGAAGAAGACCTTCGAAATGACCATAGACTGTACACAGTCCTTTAGTTAGCATTAATTTTTGCTTTGCATAATGCATTTGCTTTAAACTAAGTTTCCACATGTACTAAGCCATAGCGAATAGCTCTGGGAACTAATGTCAAATGCTTCCCTTTGAAATATGTGTGTACTGAGTCTCACTATAACCACCACCCTGTAATGATCATTATTCACCTATGACAATATTTACCTAATTCCCTACCAAACTGTCCAGTTGTGTCTTTATATGTGCATCTAATATAACAAAAAAATAAACAAGAAGTACAAACTAATCATAACTATTATACTGCTTAATCTGCTATGAAGAGATTCATCCTTTTCTCCTTGTGTTTCTTAATATTTTTTTAAATTAGATAGATTTGAGTAAGATATTTTTAAGTCTGGAGTCAATGCCAATACTAGTATACTAAATAAGTGATATTTAGAAAAATACTGTGGTAATATATTTCTATATAATATGTATGACATAGCTTTCCTTATGGAAAGATAACCACATTATCTTGTCCAATCCACTTGATTAGCAGAATTGTCTGACTTGGAGCCAGGTTTGACTTTTCCCATTTGGGAATCGAACCCAGCTGTTGGAACAGGTTATTATTATTATTACATCGAGTTTATATAGCGCCAAAAGGTTTGCTCAGCGCTGTACAATAGGGGGGACAATACATGGCACAGTACAACAAAAACAGACAGGGTACGAGGGGTAAGAGGGCCCTACTCTTTCAAGCTTACAATCTAGGAGGGAGGGGGTAGTGGAACAATAGGAAGTGGCTGAGGGGAATGAAGTGGCTGAGGGGGATGAAGTGGTGGGAGGAATGAGGGAGAATGGCCGTTAGGTGAGGGTGGGGTAGGCTTCCCTGAAGAGATGGGTTTTGAGGGAGCGCCTGAATGTGGGGAGGGAAGGCGACAGTCGGATGGATTGGGGCAGTGAGTTCCAGAGGATAGGGGAGGACCTGGAGAAGTCCTGCAGTCATGCATGGGAGGAGGAGACCAGGGAGCAGGATAGAAGGAGGTCCTGTGAGGAGCGAAGGGTACGGGTAGGGTGGTACTTGGGGATCAGGTTGGTGAGGTAGTCAGGGGCAGTGTTATGAACGGCTTTGTAGGTCAGGATTAGAAGTTTAAATTTGATGCGTTGGGCAATCGGGAGCCAGTGGAGGGAGAGGCAGAGGGGGGTGGCAGAGGTGGAGCGGGTGGTGAGGTGGATGAGTCTGGCCGCTGAGTTCAGGATGGTCTGGAGCGGGGAGAGCCTGCACTTGGGTAGGCCAGTGAGAAGAGAGTTGCAATAGTCAAGGTGTGAGATGACGAGGGAGTGTACAAGAAGTTTGGTGGTGTCTGGGGTGAGGAAGGTACGTATCTTGGCGATATTGCGGAGATGGAGCCTGCAGGTGTTTGTAAGTGATTTGACATGAGGCAGGAAGGAGAGGTTCGAGTCAAGAATGACGCCAAGGACTTTGGCTTGCGGGGCGGGAATGATAGTGGTGTTGGTGGTGGTGATGGATTGGATGGGGGGGGGGGGTTTGGGCAGGGGGAAAGACGAGGAGTTCGGTTTTTGGAGAGGTTAAGCTTGAGGAAATGGAGTGACATCCAGTCTGAGATGTCATTTAGGAGGTGAGTGATGCGGGCGGAGATAGTGGGGGTGAGGAGAGAGGGGTGGAGAGGTAAATTTGGGTGTCGTCAGCATAGAGGTGATAATTGAAGCCATGGGAGTGTATGAGTGTGCCCAGGAGGAGGTGTAGATGGAGAAGAGAAGGGGTCCAAGGACAGAGCCTTGAGGGACCCCAACAGAGAGGGGGAGGGAGGGGGAGGTGGCGCCATTGTAGGTGATGCTGAAGGAGCGTCGGATAGGTAGGATGAGAACCAGGAGAGAGCGGTATCTCTGATGCCAAGGGAGAGTAGTTTATTAAGGAGGAGGGGGTGGTCGACTGTGTCAAAGGCCGCAGAGAGGTCCAGGAGAAGGAGGACGGAGTAGTCGCTCTTGGCTTTGGCGTTTAGTAGGTCGTTAGTGATTTTGAGGAGGGCAGTTTCGGTGGAGTGTAGGGGACGGAAGCCAGACTGTAATGGGTCAAGGAGGTTATTGTCAATAAGGTGGGCGCTTAGGCGATCGTAGACTATGCGCTCAAGAAGCTTGGAGGTGAGTGGCAGCAGGGAGATGGGTCTGAGGTTGTTGGGGTCTGCGGGATCCAGGGTGGGCTTTTTGAGGATGGGGGTGATATGTGCGTGCTTTAGGGGGGAGGGGAATGCGCCAGTAGAGAGGGAGAGATTGAAGATGTGGGTGAGGGAGCGGATGAGGGAAGAGGGGGGTGACCGGAGGAGTTGAGAGGGGATAGGGTCCAGGGGGCAGGTAGTGAGGCGGGCTTCTGAGAGGACCTTGACAACTTCCTCAGTAGTGACAGGGCTGAGGGAGTGCAGTGCAGGGGGGGTTACGGTGGGCGTGGCCTTGGGAGAGGTGGAGGGCAGTGCGGTTGTGAGGGCAGAGGAGGGGGGAGAAGAGGGGGTGACGGGGGTGGGGAGGCTAGGTGGGGAGGTAGATTGCGAGTTGACAATGTCCTTACGGATATCGTCAATCTTGTTACGGAAATGGGTGGCAATCTCGTGGGCGGTGAGTGAGGTACTGAGTGGAGGAGGGGGGGAGAGATCAGGGAGTTGAAGGTGGAGAAGAGTCGGCGAGGGCAGGAGGAGAGGGTGTTGATTAGGTTAACAAAGTAGGCCTGCTTGTCGGCGTGGGGGGGGAGGTGTAAGTGAGGAAGGCAGATTTGTAGAGGGAGAATGCGTGAGGGGACCTGGTTTTGCGCCACAGTCTCTCCAGTGCATGACTGCAACGTTTGAGGCGTTTAGTGCTGTCATTCTGCCATGGTTGAAGCGGCCTAGGTTTGAAGATGCGTGTGGTTAGGGGTGCTAGAGAGTCTAGGGCAGCTGACAGTGAGTCGTTGTACAAGGTGGTGGCTATGTCAGACCATGACAGTGGAAGGATGCTGTCGTGTAGGCGGTCAGCGGCTGAGTGGAGGGGGGCGGGTTCAGGTTGCGGAGATTGTGGCTGGTGATGGTTTGGCGTTTTTGGGGGGGGGGAGTTGGGGGAAGGGGAGATGGAGAACATGATGAGGTGGTGGTCAGAGAGAGGGAAGGGGGGTGTTAGAGAACTGGTTGAGGGTACAGAGGTGGGAGAAGACGAGGTCCAGGGTGTTCCCTCCGATGTGGGGGGAGGATTGCGTGTGCTGTGTGAGCGCGAAGGAGGAGGTTAGGTGGAGGAACTGGGAAGTAGCCGGGTTGTTGTCGTTGATGGGGATATTGAAGTCCCCAAGGATGATGGTCGGTAGCTCAGAGGAAAGGAAGAAGGGGAGCCAGGCGGCGAAGTTGTCCAGGAAGTGGGGTATGGACCCAGGAGGTCTGTAGATCACTGCGATCCTTAGGGGGGTGGGTGAGAAGAGTCGGATGCAGTGAGCCTCAAAGGAGGGGAAGGATAGAGAGGGTGGGTTAGGGAGGACCTGGAAGGTGCTCAGCGGTGAAAGGAGCAAGCCGACACCACCACCTCTGCGATCGCTCAGTCTTGGCGAATGGGTCCAGATGAGACCTCCATGGGTGAATGCCGCAGGGGAAGTGGAGTCAGTGGCCTGTACCCAGGTTTCGGTGACTGCTAGGAGGTTTAGGGGGAGCGGGAGATGAAGAGGTCATGGATGGTGGTAAGCTTGTTGCAAACCGAACGGGCATTCAGGAGTGCAACCGAGAGGGGGGGATAGGTATGGGGAGGAGGGGTACATGTATAAGGTTGAGGCGGGATGGCTTGGCAGGGGGGGGGTCGTGTCAGCTGGCGTGAGCAGGGGGGGACTCTAGGGGGGGGGGGTGAGGTGGTGAGGGGCCAGGGTTCGGGGAGATGTCCCCAGCTGATATGAGAAGGAGGAGGGTGAGGAAGGTGGCAAAGGGAACGGGAGGTGTAGGAGCGTGTGGGTCTGGAAGTGGTGGCAAGTGGGTCAGCGGGGAAGTGGAGTAGCAGGAGGAGGTGGTGGGTGCCGTAATGGGGAGAGGGGAGAAGCGAGGGGGCGATATAGAGCTGCTTAAGTGTGGGGGTGGGCGGGTAGAGGGAGGCAGTTTTAGGGATGGAGGAGAGGAGGACGAGGAGGAGGAGCGCGGGCGGCATGTTGGGGTGAGCGGGGTGCTGGAAAGGTCAGGGGGGTGAAGGGGTGCTGGTCAGGGATGGCAAAGCAGAGTGTCCGAAACGCCGTGGGAGGTGAGGGGGTGCAGGTCCGGGATGGTGAAGCAGAGCGTCTGTAGTGCTGTGGAGGAGACTATTGAGTTCTTCTGTGAGGGGAGAGGGAGAGTGGAGGGCAGCAGGGATAGCAACTGGTTGGTAGTAGTCTGCGGGTGAAGTAGGTTGGTGTCCGTTGGTGCGGCGGCACGTCATCAGTGGGTGCGGTGGTTCGGTGAGCAGAGGGGTCGTTTAGGGCGCGACAACTGGGGTGCGGTAGGCGCGGCGTCTGGTGAAGCTGGCGGCTCGGAGACAGGAGACGTTGAGGCCAGGTGTTGAGGGCTCGGCGTCGGGAGGCGCTGAGGGTGCTGAAGGGCCCAGCGTCGGGAGGAGTGGAAGGGTCGTCGTGAGGAGGTGGTATGGATCGACGTCTGGAGGTGGAGTAGGCTAGGCATTGGCAGCTGTAGTAGGCTCGTAGTTGTAGGTTCATAGTAGGTTCATAATTGTTTGCAGGTTTCTGTTCAGTTTCCCTTTGGATGGTGAAAACACTAGGAAGTTGTCTAGGTAAGGAATCAGCCCCATTCCCCAGTTCCTTAAAATCTTAATCGGTTCTACCATAATTGTCTTGAAAATCCTCAGTGCCAAGGTTAACTTAAAAGGGAGGACCTGGAATCAAAAATAAGTGTCTTTTAAATCTTCATTTGTAAAGCATAAGAATTTTTGGTGTTTGTGGTATATGGGAACATGGAGATAGGTATTCTTGGTATCTAGGGTTCCCATAAGGCTATTTTGGGGAAGGAGGTTTCTGATAGTGTAGAAGCTCTCCATCCAAAACCGCCTGTACTTCACCACTTTGTTAATCTTTTTCAAATCAATGATGAGACAGAATTTTCCTTATAGCTTTCTCTGCAAGAATATCCAGGCTTTTATTCACAGTATGGGAATGGAAGCCTTTACATGGTTAGTGGCTGAAGTGACAAGAGGGCTTCCCTGGCATCTATGGTCCAGGTACTTCAGGAGGTGATGACATGGAGTACAAAGCTCAAAGAAGCATGGGTGACGATAGACTGGTTTGCTGCTGGCTGCTCCAGGAAGTGTCCAACTAGGTAGTTCTCAGGCAGGCGAGAAAGGACATCAGCAGGAACCCAGGTACACTTGTGGTTGAGCAAGTTGCATCCAGCAGTATTCAGTGCGATATCACCAGCAGTGAATGAAGGTGGTGCAGGATCAGACCAGTAGGGAGGAACTGAAATTGCGTGGTTCAGGTCAAGATCCAGGCCATGGTCACACACACACACACATGGATGATCAGCGAGATAAGAGATAACAGCATGGTCAGGAGCCAGGGTCATGCACAGTGATCAGGAGGGTGGAGACAGCAGAACAGTCAGGAGCCAAGCCAGGGTCATGCAAGTTTGAATTTGAAGAAGCAGAGTCCTTAAAAGAGTCAAGGTCACAACCAGAGATCAAGCATAGGTGAAGTCCAGAGACAAGGCAAGTCAGCACTGCAGCACAGAACAATGTATTCTGGCAGCGGGGGAGTCTCCCCACTGTCAGAATACCATAACTCCCCTTATTCCCAGTTATTCCCCTATCCACATCGAGTGAGTGGATGGGGGAATGTTTTTTTTTTTTCATTCAATCCGCAGGTTGACCAAAAAAAATTATTAAGGTATGGCCTTCCTTATATTCATAGAAAAAGTGATTACACGGATGTATGAAAAGATGCTAATCAATTAGACACCAAACACGCTTATGCTACAATGTCCAGCATGCAAATTAAACATTATTTTTTGTGTTTATAGATTTGTGATTTTATTCTATTCCATAAAATGTTGATTGGCAGATCGTAAAACCTCATTATCTGAAAATATATAAATAGTTAGAATAATTGACATTAAAAGAGTTTCAGCTGAAGCATGGTAAAACCCTTCTGGAGTCTTACATCTTAACTCTCAGCTCTCGTTTGTGTGGGAAGTGGCTCAGGATGAAAAAAAAACTGCTGCCATTGGCAGCTGTAGCTCTCTTCCTATCGAAACTGTGAAGGATTGCTAAGAGTCATTTATGATAGGCAGTGACTCTTATACCTCAGATTGGACTTACTTGCAGTGAATTGAACTCTGAATACAAATACCAGACAAATTCTGTTAAACAGTCTTCCACTTTTATTCCCATTTATTTTTCAGTTCCTAATTGTGTGTTTTACAGTATCTGTTCTGTAACTGGCTTGCATGGTTTCTCTTTTCTTTTTATTAGAATGATATTTAAAAAGGGTTAACTGCAGGGTTACCCAGCCCTAGTGACATCTATTTCCATCCACTGCCCATCTAGATAATTGTCACATGAGCTGGAAATATTCTGCACAGATGAGGTTGAGAGTATAATATTGTCACAACATGCAGGTTCACAGCTTTGACCAATTGCCCTCTGGCCCTAGACTCCTGGCTACTTTTCCCTATGGTTGATCTGGCTTTCAATCCAGGATTACCTAAGAATGGCTGGTTTACTGGCAGCTGTAATTCTTCCACTTCTTTCAAAGAAGGTGGTAAATAAAATGAACATGGTACATATTTATTTATTTATTTCAGGTACTTATATAGTGCCGTCAATTTACGCTGCGCTTTACATATATATTGTACATTCACATCAGTCCCTAACCCTCAAGGGGTGTACAATCTAAGGTCCCTAACTCACATTCATACATATACATACAACTGCCAATTTAGGCAGGTTCCAATTAACCTACCAGCATGTCTTTGGAGTGTGGGAGGAAACTGGAGTACCCGGAGGAAACCCACACAGGCACATGGAGAACATGCAAACTCCAGTCAGGTGGTGCTGTGGCTGGGATTTGAACCAATGACCCTAGTAGTGCCAGGCAGACATGCTAACCATTTAGCCACTGTGCTATATACATTTATATACATATATATATATATATACTACATATACATATATATATATATACATATATATATCTTCTTGATATTTTAATAAAGCAGCTTTTTTCATTGGCTAGTCAGCTCTGATTTATATATGTTCGGTTTAAATATTGTACATTTATGAATGCTTTCTATATTTTCTTTGTAAATATCTTTTCTTTGCTTTCAGGTTTTTATGTTACTCTTGTGGTGAACCGGTGGTGGAACCAGTTTGTAAATCTTCCATGGCCTGACAGACTCATGCTACTTATCTCCAGCAATGTGCACGGGAGAGATGAGTATGGACGGCTTCTTCGCAGGACACTTATGCGTTATGTTAATCTCACCTCGTTACTGATTTTTCGATCAGTCAGCACTGCAGTGTACAAACGATTCCCGACAATGGATCATGTTGTAGAAGCAGGTATAGGAATTGCAGTTTACATAATGGTGTATGCTGTATATGATTTTAGGTCTTTTGCTTGTTACTCCTGTGGTCTGCTTATGTTAATAAGCAATATTGAAATTGATGATATTGACCGATTGCTCCTATTGTCAGATATAATCTTTTTGTTCTGTTTGGTTGAAAATACTTTGAACAATTCCCCAAAACCCGTTTGTTTCAAATTGCTTGTTAATGTCTATCCTAATAATTTGTTGCAAAGTAACTAGTTTCCATCATGTCCACTAATATTAGATTCCTGAGATATTTGGTGTTTCTCATTTCTTACAATCTTAGGTACAGTCGTCTTCTCTTCCGATGTCTTGCTTTTGCATTTTTTGTTTCAAATTTCTTATTTGTACCTTTTATCTTTCTTGTTCATTGAGGGACACATTCTTAGAATTCTTAGCCTATAGGATTATATTGCTGCCTACAGGAGAAATGAACACAGGCAACAAAACAGTTATTGGTCAGCACAGAATAAACCTCCCCACAACCATGACAGGATGTGATGTGATGTGAGGACAACCAAGGATGTGATTTTTTTTCATCTGTGCTGTTTTCTGAAGATATTTCGGGAAGACTTTTTTGTGCTATCAACAACTCCTGGTGGATTCATGTCAGATATATGAAATCTTCAAGGTCTCTCTAGTCAGCTAACAGCATTGGCAGATTTCAAGAAGTCTCTCCAGATAACCAAGAAGTAACGGTAGATTCATGCAGGATATAACAAATCCTAGAAGTTTCTCCATTCAGACAAGCACAGATTTCCTAGTTATATACAAGCAATCTGTGACACAAACCTGCAGTTGATGGCATAATATCTGTATTCCAGTTACCACAGAACTATGCTATTCAGCTCAGGCCAGTATTCTTCAGGAATTGCTTGAGCTGCGGCAGTTCATTTGACTCCATATTTGAAGGCTCCATGTTGTGTATTGCTATCAGGCCCTGACTTTCAGCTTATTCTCTGCACCTCAAGATTTAACCAAAACATTAGCTGTGCTATTAGCCCTGCTGCACTGTCATGGAACCTCCATTGTGGGATACTTAGACAAATTGATAGGCGAGCTTCCTCAGCTGGCAGTGCCTGGACCGGGAAAGTGGTTCTTATGCCTGGAGGTGTTCCAGATCCTGTTATGCAGGTGGGGGCAGAATGTGAACCTCCTGGCCTTCAGATTTAACAGCAAATTGTACAGTTTTGTCTCCAGGTTCAGTGACTCTGTAGCAGAAGCAATGGATGCTTCAATGACTATGTGGGATCAGTACACCCTAATCTATACTTTTCATCCCCTGAAATGTCTTCAAATCTATTTTTCCAGGATCAGGTTAGAGGGCATTCTGGTGATCTTCTTTGCTCTGGACTGGTCCAAGTGGATGTTGTACACTCTTCTGTTAACACTCCTGGCAGGGGATCTGTGGGCTTTGTCAGATCATCAGGATATTTTGTCTCAACAACCTTTTTATTCTACTTCAATGGCTTTAAAGCCATGGCTGTTGAAGCCTTTTGTTTTTCGTATCAGGAGCATCTTTGAATTTGTGTTTTCTATAATGTTAACAGCTAGGAAGGTTGCTTGTAAAGTTTATCATCATACATGGATGGCATACTGAACTTAGTGTGATTCTTGGAGCTTCCACCCTAAGAATTTCTCCATGGGATGAAGCCTTTCCTTCATACAGCTGAGTCTGCACCAGTGTTTGGCTCTCAGCACTTTTAGGATACATGTCTGTCTTATTTTAGAGATTGTTAGTCTTTCACATTTTGATTTAGATCTTTTTTACAGGAAGTATCCCATGTGGGCAGCACAGTGGCTAAATGGTTAGCACTTCCGCCTGGCAGTACTAGGGTCGCTGGTTTGAATCCCAACCCCGGCACCACCTGCCTGGAGTTTGCATGTTCTCCCTGTGCCTGTGTGGGTTTCCTCCGGGTACTCCAGTTTCCTCCCACACTCCAAAGACATGCTGGTAGGTTAATTGGCTCCTCTCTAAATTGGCCCTAGTATGTATATGTATGAATGTAAGTTAGGGACTTTAGATTGTATGCCTCTTGAGGGTTAGGGACTGATGTGAATGTACAATATGCCATATAAGACGCACTTTTTCTTCCCCAAAACTGGGGGGGAAATGTCAGTGCGTCTTATAAGGCGAATATGGAGCGGCCGGTCCGGTATTTTCACCGCGGCCGTGTCAGAATACCGGGCCGGCCGCTCAGCTCTGCAGCGGGACCTTACCTGTTCCTCTATCCAGCGGCGTGCTGTCTTCCCGGCTTCTGTAGTGTGGGCACTGGGCATGACAGCCGGGTGCCAAGTGCGCATGCGCAAGAAGCGGTGCTTTTTGTGAATGGTAAGGTGGTACCTGGGACACATGACAGATCCCAGAAGCCGCCGGACCAATCACAAAGCGCAAGTGCTTCTCGCTCATGCGCACTGGGCACCCGGTTGTCATGCCGAGCGCCATTACAGAAGCCGTGAAGACAGCGCGCGGCTGGATCGAGGAACAGATAAGATCAAACAAAAACTCTGCAGAAGTAAGAGCGGGTACCTGTCAAATTCAGTTACCCGCTCCCCACCTCCCCAAAGGTCAGCAGTCATCTGTACTGTCCACAGTCTCTGGTCATCCCTGTGCTGTCCGCTGTCTCTGGTCATCCCTCTGTCCGCAGTCTCTGGTCATCCCTGTGCTGTCCGCAGTCTCTGGTCATCTCCTGTACTGTGTCTGCAGTCCATTAGTTCAGAATTTTTTTTTCCTGTTTTCTGCCTCTAAAACCTAGGTGCGTCTTATGGTCAGGTGCGTCTTATACGGCGAAAAAAAATACGGTATATGTAAAGCGCTGCGTAAATTGACGGTGCTATATAAGTACCTGAAATAAATAAATAATGTGGACCCCCTTGTGGATCTGAATCTGGTGGCTTTATCCTGCAGGGAGCCCCTTATTGATTTGCATAGAGATAAGGTTGTGCTGGGGTCCAGAACGTCCTTCTTATCTAAGGTAGTTTTGCCTTTTACCTCAGCCAAAATATTTTTCTCCTGTCCCTCTGTCCAACATTTGCAAAAAAAAAAACCACATCTGGATATATTTCGGGCTGTGAGAGTCTATCTGCTAGCTGTTGCTTTTTAGGGAAGACTGATTCATTTTGTATTCAAGAAGGAACCCGTAAGAGTTCACCAGCTTCTCTTTCCACCATCTCTAGGTGACTCAGACATACCATCATACAAACATATCATCTTAAGGATTGGATTAGACTGTTTCCTGTCTGGGCACACTCTGCTAGATCTGTGAGTGCTCCTTGCTCTTTACAGCATCATGCAACTTTTCCCAGCTTGCAAGGCTATCACTTAGTCTTCTGTTATTATTTCTTAAATTTTACCAGGCAGATATTCAGGTTTTTAGGTGACTCCTCAGTTTGCTGTTGTCTTTTCTTGCACCCGATAGTCTTTTTTTTTCTATGTTGCCCAACCCTCTGTTACACTGCTTTGAATGTTCTGACAATTATGAAATTTAGGAATTCCTGTATCCCTCAGTGGATGAGAAAGAAAATAGGATTTTTGCATTCACCATAAAATCCTTTTCTTGGAATCCATTGACAGGTCCTTCCCCTCTGTTTTTGTTTTTTTTTTGTTACAAATTCTGAGCATTCCTGTGGCCCTCAATGGACTCCAAGAAAAGGATTTTGCAATGAGTACAAAAATCTTATTATTATGTGACATTAATGCTGTTGCAATAAAGAATAAAATAATTCTAATATAAATAGTAAAGAAGGTAATTAGACTAAAAGACAAAAAGAAATATTGGTGGGATAAGCTAAATATTGCTCCTTTACCTTGGTCATAAATGTGCTGTGCCTGCTTGTAGGTGCAATCTTTCAGTTTTTTTCACCACATGTTTAGTATGGGTATAAACTCACTGCTTGTCTAGGTTCAGTGTTACTAATTAATATTGCTATTATGGTTATGCTTAATCTACATATATTTATCTATTTTGTATTTTAAAAGGCTTTATGACAGCAGATGAGCGAAAAATATTTGACAACCTTAAATCTCCTCACCTCAAGTACTGGGTACCAGTCGTCTGGTTTGGAAATTTAGCTTCAAAAGCCAGGTCTGATGGAAGAATTCGTGACAGCGTTGATCTTCAATTAATGCTTAATGTGAGTCAGAATGTAGATACAGAAAGGGGCTATTCCTGAGCATGTGCTGCATTAGTGAACCAATACTACAGTATGTAAGTGCTTTTTGTGTGATTCCTGACTGTCTTTCCTGTTTTTCCTTGAAAACAGTAAGTATAAAATCTATCTTTGCTTGGTGGAAGCTTGGTTGCATGGGGATACATCCTTGCATTTACCCGATAATCATATTATCTTCTCCAGCAGTGTTCGGTTGTAATTGTAAGCATCATTTGTGTGTCTAATAATTGCATTTTGTTGTTTTTACGTAGTAACAACTACTGCTTCTGACCACAAAATAATTCTATTGTTACACATACATTTTTTTGTGTTGGTGTGCTATGCTCCTGCTCTACACCACATTTTATTTAGCAGTGCCTATGTCACATTTTCCTTTGATATGCAGCTGCTCAGTTCTCTAGTTATCATTGATCATAAAGAGTTGTGATAGAGGTGTACTGCTTGAGTTTTTAACCATCATCTCAGGTGAACACAACAGCAATAAATAAGCAGAGCTATAAATAATCCTTGCTAAAACAATATTCTTTACAGTATATGTAGGGTTATGTGCTGTATTTGATCAGTAGCCTGCAAAATGCTATTAACTTATTAGCTAGTACTGATGTGTGCTTTATCCCAGGAAATGAACAGGTATCGGTCATGGTGTGGTCTCCTATTTGGCTATGACTGGGTTGGCATTCCTCTGGTGTACACACAGGTAAATACACATGTTTTAAGGGCATGTATAGTCTGTTTTAGGTATGCATGTGATAGACATCAGATAGATGCAAAGAGTCTTTTCAGTGGATGTTAGAAACATTATTTCCGCAGTATGTATAATGTATATAAATGTAAGTGTATTTGGGTACAGTCTTATTTGCTCTACTCAAAATTGCTGCTTTGCGGTATGACACAGTTGTATTGGTCTACAGCTCCTTATCATAGTGCAAGTCTATAGCAGGGTTTACATGTAGAGGGTTTTTGTTACGTTCTGCAGGTTGAACGAAAAAAGAAACAGATCCCCCATCCACATAAGAGATGTAGATGCAGATATCTCCCCTGTTGTGCTGTTATATTCTGACAGTGGGCCATTGGCTGCGTGAGCTAATTGAATGCTGGTTTTCCAGCAGGACTGTTCAACAGAAGCTGGTCTAACTTCTGTTATTATTTATTGCAGGTACTTATATAGCGCTGTCAATTTATGTGCTTTATATATTTATTGTACATTCACATCAGTCCCTAACCCCCAAGGGGTATACAATCTAAGGTCCCTAACTTACAGTCATACACAAATACTAGGGCCAATTTAAAAAGGAGCCAATTCACCTACCAGCATGTCTTTGGAGTGTGGGAGGAAACTTGAGTACCCAGAGGAAACCCACGCAGGCACAGGGAGAACATGCAAACTCCAGGTAGGTGGTGCCATGGTTGAGATTTGAACCAACAACCCTAGTACTGCTAGGCAGAAGTGCCAACCATTTAGCCAGTGTGCTACCCCTGTTGAAGAGAGCCTCTGCTGAACAGAGAGCGGTACGCACAGAGCGAAATTTGACCAGTTCCTGCTGAACCAGTTGAATTTTGGTACATGTATACCCTTGCCAACTCAGTCAAATCAATATCTAATCTTAACAGTTGTTAAGAAGGGGAGTAGTGTGATTGCAAACCAGGGGTGGACTGACAACTCATGGGGTCCCCGGGCAATAGGTGATCATGGGGCCCCTGTGTCCTTGCCCACACTCAAAGCACACCCAAAAAAGCCTATAAAAAGGTACCAGGGGCATTTCATGGGGCCTCCTACTGACCCCGGGCCCTCGGGCAATGCCCCGAGTGCTCGAATGGTCAGTCCGCCCCTGATGCAAACTGATTGTTGCTCCTGAAGAACAAGCACGTATAAATTTTAAAGTCACATGAAAATGATTGCAGTCTAGCAAATACTTCTATAATAAATAATATGTGCTGACTGAAAATGCACTTGACTTTCTGTAAATTGTGCAGCTGTTTAAAATTGTTTGCGTAGAGTTAACACAATTCCACGCCACTTTTTAGGTAGTAACTCTCGCAGTATACACTTTCTTCTTCGCCTGTATAATTGGACGTCAGTTCTTAGACCCTGAACAAGCCTATGCAGGACATGACTTGGACCTCTACATTCCAGTTTTCACTCTGCTTCAGTTCTTTTTCTATGCAGGCTGGTTAAAGGTGAACTCTCCCTTTTTGTCTGTCTCTCTTTATACATTAAGCATGTTTGTTTAACTGTATATAATACAAGATTATTAGACTTGGGCAGGTGTTCCATAACCATATGGGAACACAGGGTTTGGGTAAAATTGCTGTTTATGAGTCTTGTGTATTCAAGCCTGCTAATATTTTCATTTTAGAAAAGGTGGCTGCTGTCTAAAGTGATGTAATGACCAGTATAGCAAGCTGCACTAATATGCACATGTAGCATTCCTCCCAACATCTTGAGATGGGTAAGAGGGACACCTATAAAGACTCAATTCACACAAAGGGTCTGATCAAGTTCACCTGTCAGTTTTTCAGGCGGACCTGATTGGACCCTCCAGTCACACCTGTGGACCAGTGGGTGTAAACGGACATGTGTCTGTTTACACCCGCCTACCTTCAATCCCATCCAGTTCGCTAAAAAAAAAATGGAAGGGGATCTTGGCAAATCGGATCGGAGGGCAGTCAGGTGTAAACGAACAGCGGAGTCCAACCAGCCACCCATAGAGCAGAGCAGGCTTGGTCCATGTCTGCTCTGCATAAATTGAGTGGGCACGGGCCTGTCATCCGCCCGCTCTGCTATGATCAGCAGGGGTACAACGGACAGATCCCCTGCTGATCTAAATGAAGGGAATGAAAGGGGCCTTAGCAAAAAGTATGTAGGCAAAGAATACTCCTCACCACACCCCTTGGAGAATTTATACACAAAAAATGATATGTTAAACAAACAAGTGCTTTGTTACCTCTACTATTGATACTGGCTTTTGAAACTCTCAACTGCAACAATTTAGAAACTAGATGAAAGGTATAGCACTGTAAAACACTTTTTCCGATAAATTGTGCATTTTTATATTCATATATTTATATGCATCAGATCAAAATGAGGGACAAATGAGGATGAAAGAGGGACAGAAGGACTTTGTTCCAAAGAGGAAAAGTCCCTCCAAATCAGGGATAGTTGGGAGGTATGCAGTAGCACAGCCAAGAAATACAGTATACATGTAGCATAGACATGTAGCATAATCCTTAGGGTCCTTTCATACGGGCGTGGTGGTTTTTTTTCATCAGTTCAGTCACGTTTTTTCAAAGAAAAACGGGTGAGTTTATATCCATTCTTACATCCATTTTCATCTGTTTTTTTCATTCGTTTTTAGTCATCAGCTGTCAGCGGGGTTCCCCACTGACAGCTGAATGTAAAAAAAAAAAAAAAAAAAAAGCAGCAATTAAAAAAAAATTTATAAAATGGCTTGGGGTCCCCCCTTCCATCCATACCAAGCCCTTCGGATCTGGTTTGGATTTTGAAGGGAACCCCCACACCAAATTTTTTTAAAAAAATGAGACGTGGGGTCTCCCCCAAAATCCATACCAGACCCTTATCCGAGCATACAGCCCAGCATGTCAGGAAAGAGGGGGGGGGAATGAGCGATCGTCCCGTCCCCCCCGAACCATACAAGGCCACATGCCCTCAACATGGGGGTGTGCTTTTGGGCTTTCGCACGGCGTTCCGTTATTCATCTGTCTGTTTACGGATGAAAAATGGACCCCCATGTATTTCTGTGGGTTTGCGGGTGTAAACGGATGAACATCTTTATCCGGTAATGTCCGCATCCGTTAACAAACCCTATTTTTCTTCAGCAAAAAAACCCGGGACAGACGGAAAACAGACGTCAACGGATTGTATGCAGCCCGGTAGGCCAGGAAAGGGAATAGACGAGCGAGCGCCCCCGCTTCTGAACCATACCAGGCCACATGCCCTCAAAATAGGGGGGTGCTTTGGGGCAGGGGGCTCCACCTTCCCCCCCCCCCCCCCAAAGCACCTTGTCCCCATGTTGAAGGACCCTTAGTGTTTATTATGCTGTAACTGTTAACAAATATAAGCCTAAAAAAATAGTTTCTTTGCATTGTCATCATTTTTATTATAGGTGGCTGAGCAGCTAATTAACCCTTTCGGTGAAGATGATGACGACTTTGAAACTAACTGGTGCATAGACAGAAATTTACAGGTTAGGAATTTTGCATGTTTTTTTTTTTTAATCTGAGAGAGCTCTCTAGACTGTGCTGAAATACAGATACACAGCCTATGAATGGTGATGGTGTTATTCTGAATTATAAAAACAAAATCCACCATGGATGGAGTCAGCACACAATTAGTGGTGTTCTGAGTTGGAGTTTTTGCATGGAGCATTATAAGACTGCATGGACCAAAGATTTATAACCAGTTTATTGATCACAAGACTTACCCGTTATTTTCTACCTTTTTTTATGTGGTTTAAGCATGCTTTTTAAAGGATAAGTTCACCTTTTAACAAAAAATAATAAATGCATATTTTTTTGCAGGTAAAAAAATTTGCATTTACTTTTTTTTGTTTTGGGAGCCTGTAAAGCATTGGACCCGCAATCAGTTGATTGCTGGTGCCATGCAAGACTCCTGCAGACCTGTCAGTATATCTGTGTGCTTGTACCTTGTATGGGCAAGCAGATACACTCTGACAAGAAGAATCAATGAACTACAACAGCACTCAACAGCTCCATGGTATTTCATTGAGAACTACAAGCCAACAGCCGCAAAGGCTGTTAGAACTTGTAGTTTTCCCATTCACAGAATACTGTGAATGAATGATATGGAAGGGTGAGCAGGGCCCTGCACGACCATAGTTTTTTTAAATTGCAACAGCTAGCTGTCACAACAGGAGATTGGGTGTGAACGGGGTCGGTCCTTTCATAACATGTTACATATTACACCCTGAATATGGGTATAACATGGCACTATGGGTATAACATGTTACGAAAGGTGAACCTATCCTTTAAATTACTTCTCTAGCTTAATTCCATGTCTAACTATAGAACTTTAAAATATCAAAATGGTCTCGTTCTGACATTAGTTAAAAAAAATTGTATTCATCTGTACCATAAAACATGACCTTTATAAAGGTCTGTGTGAGTGACTTCCTAAATTGTATTATTATTATTATCTTTATTGTTATTACATTTTGTATACATTGCATTTTTTATGTATTCATATAAAAAAGTATTTAATTTGCTTCAATTCTGGGCTATCCTGCAGCTAAAGCAGTATTAATCCTAAAACCAAAAAATGTAATATATTGCAGTTTATCAATCATTAGATGTGATGGTTGCATTAGTTTTTCTTTTTTTTAGGCTTTTTTTCCCTCTGTTTTCACCTGAAGATGTGATCAGTAACACACTTCCTGTATTAGAGTCCCTGGTCTGGATGAAGGAGCACAGGGGGCACAGAAGACAGCAACATTGTTAATTGGGGAGGGGGGAACTAGTAGATTTAGATACACTAACAAATTGAAGCCAAACTCTAGCTCACACTGCAGTTACAGCAAACCGTTTTTTTTTTTTTTTTTTTTTGTTTTTTTTAGGGATAAAGGTTTTACATCAATAAAAGCTTATCATTGTAAGCACCCCTGTCAGTGATAAATGGTTTGTCTCAAAGCTTTTAACTGATACATGTACAGGATTACTTGTTCTGTTTAAAAACAACAGTCTTACTGCCAGATCATCAGGTAAAAATATAGGAAAGAAAGCCTAAAAAAAATGCAACTATGAGCTGCAATATAATAAATGTTTGCTTTTGGGTTAATACCACTTTAACCCAGTAGCTGTGGGTCTGCTGATAAGATTTCTTAACTTATCAGAGCATTAAACTTTGCTGTTATGGTAGAGCTGTTCTAAAATGTCTCTGTGTTCACTCATGGAGGCCTTACAGTCTATGCAAAGAACAAATATCTACTGGAATCATCCTGACTCATTTATAAGTGCCAAGCATGCACAGCCCAGTGTACAGCAACCTCACCTACCAGTGTATATAGGGATGTCTCAAGAAAATGATAATCCTTACACTGGTCTCCACCCGGATTCTTAAGCACCAGGATCCGTAGCCTAGACACTGTATGCATACAATAATTAACTTAAAACCATGTGATGGTTTGGAAGGGATCTAGTTTTTAGTACTGTTTGTGATTTCCAAGGACAGAATGTCAAGACATAGCCATGAATAGAAAGCTGTCAATTATTGGGAACCCAAAGTGATGTCTTCTTTTTTTGAGATGTTATCTCCATCTAAACTGGTTTGCTGTTAAGTGTTGAAATGTAAGAATGAAGCATAGAACTTTCCAGAGAATAGTTAAAGTAGAGCTCCACCCAAAAGCCAAAAGGGGAAGTTCTGCTTTAAGGCCTCATCCCCCACTCCCCGTTAAGGATCGGCACCTTTAGGGAGTGAAGGGGGGGGGGCAGGTACCCGATTTTGACAGGTACCCACTTCTGCTGCGATCACTTAGGCGACTGGAAGCGGAAGTTGTCCTCCCTGCCACCCCGTAGTCTTCTGGGACATGTGACAGGTCCCAGAAGACTACGGGACCATGCACAGTGGGCAGCGTTACTCACGCATAAGCAGTGGGCACCCGGCTGTGAAGCCGCAAGCTGTCACAGCCGGATGCCCAAACTGAAGATGCCGGAACCGGGGTGAAAGGGAGGGAGGACACCGTGGGACTGAGGGACAGGTAAGTGTCTGTTTTTTAAAAGTCAGCAGCTACAATTTTTGTAGCAGCTAACTTTTATTTTTTTAGATTTTGACTCGATCTCTGCTTTAAGTATGACATTTTCTCACTAGTTGCATGGGGAAAAATTTCCATCTGTGAAAAGAATAGGTACCTTAGGGCCCTGTTCATGAGTCATTGGATTAGCAGCCACCATTATTTGGGCATCTGTACCTACAGGTAGGTGGCAATGAAACATGAGTAAAAACTTGTATATGATCTTCCACTCATACTTCCTTATCCTCAGCTAAGGTCATGAAATACATCACAATATGAACTATGAAGCTGTGTTACTATAGGAGTTTCATGCTTTCAAATATAATTAGTGAGTTCATTGGTTTTAGGTTTCCCTAATGGCAGTAGATGAGATGCATACAAACTTACCGAAGATGAGTAGAGACATCTACTGGAATGACTCTGACGTGCGACCACCATACACACTTGCAGCTGCTGACTACTGTATTCCTTCATTCTTGGGATCAACAGTCCATATGGGGTAACTATCATTTCCATCATGTAAAAGTGTTTCCAAAGTCATTATACAGCGTTAATGATGTGTACATTCCTACACAATTCCACACAAAACAGCACAATTCCATCTTTTTAATGCTATCAGTCACTCTTTTAAAGCTTTAAAAGGAACTTCACTCTTACTATCAAATATTATTATTATTTATTATTATACGGGATTATATAGCTCCAACAGTTTTCTCAGCGCTTTACAATATTAAGGGAGACAATACAGCAATGACACAGTTCAATACAAGAGGGTTAGGAGGGCCCTGCTCCTTGGAGCTTACAATCTTAGAGGGAGGGGCTGATGGGACAAAAGGTAATAACTGTGGGGGATTAACTGATAGGAGGAATAGAAGATTCCGTTATTCGCTGAAGGCGGGATAGGCTTCCCTGAAGAGATAGGTTTTCAGAGATCGCCTAAAAGTGGGCAGAGTAGGCGATAGTCTGATAGATTGGGGTAGAGAGTTCCAGAGGATGGGAGAGGCTCTGGAGAAGTCCTAGAGATGAGCATGGGAGGAGGAGACAAGGGAACTAGAGAGCAGGAGATCATGGGAGGAGCAGAGAGGAAGGTTAGGGTGATATTTGGACACAAGATTGGTGATGTAATTTGGGGCAGACTTATAAATGGCTTTATAGGTTATTGTTAATGTTTTGAATTGTATTTGTGGGGCAATGGGAAGCCAGTGGAGGGATGGGCAGAGAAGAATGGCAGATATGAAACGTTTAGTAAGGTGGATGAGACTGGCAGCAGCATTCATGATAGACTGAAGAGGGGATAGCCTGCGATGAGGTAGGCCAATGAGGAGGGAGTTACAATAGTCAAGGCGAGATATAACAAGGGAGTTAATAAGTTGCTTAGTGGTTTCAGAGGTTAAAATCGGGCATATCTTGAAGATGTTGCAGAGGTGAAGTCTACAAGATTTGGACAGTGATTGGATTTGGGGCTGAAAGGACAGATGGGAGTCCAGGATTACACCTAGTACCCTGGCATGAAGGGGGGCGGTGCCGCCAACCTAAAAAATGGCCACCCTAAGCAAATGCCTTGTTTTCCTTGCGATAAATACACTACTGCCGGATGGGCAAGGGAAGCGTAATCAGAGAAGCAACCAAGAGGCCCATGGTAACTCTGGAGGAGCTGCAGAGTTCCACAGCTCAGCTGGAAAATCTGTCCACAGGACAACTATTAGTCGTGCACTGCACAAATCTGGCCTTTATGGAAGAGTGGCAAGAAGAAAGCCATTGTTAAAAGAAAACCATAAGAAGTCCTGTTTGCAGTTTGTGCGAAGCCATGTGGGGGACACAGCAAACATGTGGAGGAAAGTGCTCTGAGAAGATGAGACCGAAATTTAACTTTTTGGCCTAAAAACAAAATGCTGTGTGTGGCAGAAAACTAACACTGCACATCACCTTGAACACACTATTCCCACTGTGAAACATGGTGGTGGCAGCATCATGTTGTGGGGATGCTTTTCTTCAGCAGGACAGGGAAGCTGGTTAGAGTTGGTGGGAAGATAAATGGAACCAAATACAGGGCAATCTTAGAAGAAAACCTGTTAGAGTCTGCAAAAGACTTGAGCATGGGGAGGAGGTTCACCTTCCAGCAGGACAACGACCCTAAAAAAACAGCCAGAGCTACAATACAATGGTTTAGATCAAAGCATATTCATGTGTTCAAATAGCCCAGTCAAAGTCCAGACCTAAATCCAGTTGAGAATCTGTGACAAAACTTGAAAATTGCTGTTCACAGATGCTCCCCATGCAATATGACAGAGCTTGAGCTGTTTTGCAAAGACGAATGGGCACAAATACTCTCTAGATGTGCAAAGCTGGTAGAGACATACCCAAAAAGACTTGCAGTTGTAATTGCAGCAAGAGGTGGTTCTACAAAGAATTGACTTAGTGGGGCCTGAACACAAATACACGCCACACTTTTCAGATATTTATTTGTAAAAAATGTTGAAAACCATTTATCATTTTCATTGTACTTCACAATTATGTGCCACTTTGAGTTGGTCTATAACATAAAATCCCAATAAAATACATTTACGTTTTTGGTTGTAACATGATAAAATGTGGAAAATTTCAAGGGCTATGAATGTTTTTTCAAGGCACTGTATGACATTGATTTAAAGCACCTGTGTAATTTGAAGGTGATCCTGAAAACATGACCTTTTGGGGATAATTGAAAACCAAGGTTGGGAACCATTGCTCCACACGAACAATAATACCTTATTTTATGTTTTTTTCTATCTGTTGTAGACTACCCGATTCTGTTTTTCTACATGAAGACTGGTTTCTGGATGAAGAGAAGCATAGAAGACAACCTTCTGTTTTAAGAAGAGTCAAGCGGTTTTTAAGTGTCCATGAGCATCCTGAATCTCCCGTCAGACGTACTTTCAGTCGACAGGGGAGTGATGCATCAACTATGTTCTTTCCTAGTGAAACAAGTTACATAGGCAGTTTCCATGATGTTCCATCTAGAAGACCTCATCTTCATGGTAGTAAGAGGAATGAATCTATGGATAAAAATGCCAAGCCTGGCACAACTAGGAATGATCTATCTGTTATTCGGGAGTCTAGTAGATCAAATTCTTCAGAAAGACAACCCTCAAGTGAGGACAATATTACACCAAACTCAGCTTCACATGTACCTGAAGTGGTGGTCACTACATCTTCTGAAACTGTAGTCCAAAATGATGCCCCACTGCAGTCAAATCCTCCACTTATATCAAATAATATAGAAAATACTGAATGTGTTCAGAAAAACACTGAGCAACCATCCTCTGAAATAATTTCCAAACAAGATATTCAGAAACAAGGGTCAGTACAAGTTCCAGTGAAAACAGGTGAGGAGAAATTACAGCACGTCACTAAAGATCAGCAGATTACTTCCCATCGATTCAGTGAAACTATATTCCCAACACAAAGTTCTGTAACATATTTACAGCCACCATATACATCTCTGCAAAATATTCCTCTTTCATTGACTTTAGAAAGGGAAGTGCCTACTTCAGATGCTCACTCAAAACCCAGTGAAGATTTGCTGAATTTATTGAGCCACATTGACACCAAAGAAACAGACATTGTCGAGTTTCATGATGAAAAGAAAGATGAGAATATATAAGATAATCATTAATAAATCCTGTAAATGGAAAAATATACAGTTCTGTGACAAGAGAATCTGCCTAACAAGAGGAAAGACTTTCAACGCACAAAAAAATCTCAGTTTTGTCAGAACATATTTTTATATTCAAGCTACTGGCATGGTCATTTCATACTTGTTATCAACTTGATGAAATTCTTGCTGGAAGCAGCACAGTCTATTTGTGTAATACAGTGCTTCTTTCTAATTTCCGAGGACAGTGACAAAACATTGACTGTACCATCAGAAGAGGTTTGAAACTTGCACTTATTATGAATGCAGGCTCTGAATCAATCACTATCTGAATCAGTCACTATCAGTCTAAGGCCGGTTTCACACTGCTATGCTGCGGTTTGACCACAGCAGGGGTGTATCCACAGTTTTCACATGTTTTACCCGTGGTTTTAGCTGCAGTCCCATATATGTTCTATTGGGTTGCGCATTTTTGGCATGTTTTCTGAGAGCGCACTAAATATGCTGTGTCTTTAGTGCGTTTTCAAAAAATGCACCCTAATATGCATGACCTAATAGAGAGTCTATGCGACCATAACAAAAACTGCAGGTAAAACATGCAAAAATTGTGGATATACCCGTGCTGTGGCCAAGCACAATGCAGTAGTGAGAAACCAGCCATTTTCCCACCCAAGGCTTGGACAATACCACCTAGATGTAATTTTATGTTTTAACACCTTTTAAGCACACCTATATCAATACCAAGCTACCATAGTGATAGGTTAGCTAGGCAAACTCATGGACTGCAGGCTGTGCTATTGTTAGAAGCCACAGGGCCCCATACAGCCAGCCTGACAGGCCCCCACCACCACCACCACCAAAAAAAACCCCACAGTTTTCTATGCTTCAATTATGAATGAACACCATGAGTGATCAGTACCAATCATTCATTGTGTTCATTCAGGATAGGAAGGGGCTGATAAATATGATATATTTACCAAACCCTTCCCTCACTCTCCATCCTGAAGGATACTTTTGTGTGCTTTCAGCTGCCAGTGGGAAGGAGAGGACGGAATTCGGCAGCACTGCGGGGGTGGGACACACAAGGGGGCCTGGGCAGTAAGGGGAAATGTATGGTGCACAGGGAGAGTGATGGGTACAGTGGGGGGCAGTTACTGGAACCAATCCCCTGTATGGCTCTCTACAGCAGCTGAAAGCCAGCAGGAGGGAGATAGATAAGAAGAAGCCAGCTTTCAGCTGCTGCAGAAAGAGCCCAACAGCGGATCGGTTCCAGTGATCCCCCCCCCCCCCCATGCCCCATGCCGATCACCATCCATGCCCGCATCAGATACACCCAGCTGCCTGCGCTCCCCTGCTGGCCTGGGCCCCGTACAGGAGGACTGGTGGTACCCCCTTATCCACAGCCCTGACTGCAGGCAAAAGTGATTTCATACATCTCTTGGTTGTCTGCTAAGAAGGCTACAATTTATTGCACGACCTAAAGCTCATTACAGTAATGGTGAAAAAATATTTGAGATCACTAGGCCATGCAATATTCTGCCTGTCAAAAAAATTAAAATGGGTGAAGGTACTTTCACCTACACAGCATTTCAATCAGTAATTGTGTCTTGGATATAATGGACAAGACTGCAACCTTTAATTACTTGAAAACCTCAGTTAATGCCTTTTAGCCTAAGCCTCTCTAAGGACTCTTATGTGACCTGCCTGCAGTATATTCAGACAGCTTCCAGCACCCACATTTTTTGGCATTTCAGCGGGCTTTGACACTGGCAGCCCTTTCACCTTAGGTTCAGACTTGCCCACAAATCCATGTCTGACAAGTAACTGAAATTGTCTGAATTCTTTTTGGAAACCAAAGTACTTTATAGTCTTGTGTATAGAATGTATATAGCAATAGTTGAATGTAATAGTTTACTTTTTATTAGTCATAACAAATTTGCCATGTAAATGAAAGACCCTCAAATGGATTTTCTGGTACATTTGTATTGCACATTGATATATCCCCCTCCCACTCTTTGAGACACGGTTTAATATTTTAATATAAACAGACAAGCCAGCACAGAGATACAATTTACAATTTTTCATGCATGTCATTTTGTTTTTGCTATGCTCCATTTATAACAGTCAAAAGCTATGCTTTTAGCACAAATATAATATTAGCAAACCCTTCTTCATTGTGGTGAAATTTGTGACCCCATCACTTTTGACCAAATGTGATGTAAAACACTCCACTATAAGGATACACAGTGCTGTGAAAAAGTATTTGCCACCTTCCTGCATATATGTCACACCTAAATGATTCAGATCATCAAACAAATTTTAATATTGCACAAAGATAACCTGAGTAAATACAAAATGCAATTTTTCATTGATGATTTAATTTATTAAGGGAAAAAAGCTGTCCAAACCTGCCTGGCAGTATGTGAAAATAATTGCCTCCCAAACCTAATAACTGCTTGTGCCTCCCTTGGCGGCAACAACTGCAATCAAGTGTTTGCAATAACTTGCAATGAGTCTTTGACATCACTGTGGAGGAATTTTGGACCACTCTTCTTTGCAGAATTGTTTTAACACAGACACATTGGAGAGTTTTCAAGCATGAAAAGGTCATGCCACAGCATCTCAATTGAATTTAAGTCCAGACTTTGACTAGTCCACTCCAAAACCTTAAATAGTTTTTTTTCAGATGTGGACTTGTTGGTGTGTGTTGGATCATTGTCCTACTGCATAACCCAAGTGTGCTTGAGCTTGAGGTCATGAACTGACGACCAGACATTCTCCTTCAGGATTGTCTGGTAGAGCGCAGAATTTTTTGGCTCCATCAATTATGGCAAGTCATCCAGATCCTGAAGCTGAGACCATCACACTACCACCAACATGTTTGACTGTTGGTATGATGTTCTCTTTATGAAATGCTCTGTTAGTTATACGCATAGAATATTTGCCCAGTTGTCTTGGGGATAATCAAGATGTTTTTGGCAAATGTGAGACGAACCTTTGTGTTCGTTTTGGTCTGCAGTGGCTTTTGCCTTGGAACTCTCCCATGGATTCCATTTTTTCCCTGTCTCTATCTTATTGTTGAATCATGAACACTGACCTTAATTGAGGCAAGTGAGGCCTGCAGTTTATTAGATGTTGTTCTGGATTCTTTTATGACCTCCTGGATGAGCTGCTCTTGGAGTAATTTTAGTAGGCCGTCCACTCCTGGGAAGGCTCACCACTGTTCCAAGTTTTCTCCATTTGTGGATAATGGTTCTCACTGTGGTTCACTGGAGTCCCAAAGCCTTAGAAATGGCTTTGTAACCCTTTTTTTTTCTGATATATGTCAATTACTTTGTTTCTCATCTCTTCTTGAATTTCTTTAGCTTGTGGTAAGATGTGTTGCTTTTTGAGATTTTTTAGTGTGCTTCACTTCGTCAGACAGATTCTATTCAGGCCTGGGTGTGGCAAGTGTAAATGTAACTGAGCTTTCCAAAAAATGTGGTTAATCATAGTCATTGAGTCTTTCACATTGCTGTGGAGGAATTTTGGACCACTCTTCTTTGCAGAATAGTTTTAATTCAGCAACATTGGAGGTTTTTTGAGCATGAAAGGCCTGTTTAAGATCACACCACAGCATCTCAATTCAATTGGATTTAAGTCCAGACTTTAATTTTTTAGCAAAGGGGGGGGGGGCAATTACTTTTCCACATTGGCCCAGTCAGGTTTAGACAGCTTTTTTGCCTTAATAAATGAAAGCATAATTTATTTACTTGGGTTATCTTTGTGCAATATTAAAATGTGTTTGATAAGCTGAATCATTTAAGTGACAAATAAAAAAAAATTAAAAATCACCGTATAGAATGGGCAAAAGCAGATAGTGTCATTCCTACTAACTGTTGTTAGGAATGACATTTCATACATTTACACTGAGAATATTTGTAGCATAGTTGTTTGTCCATCTAAAGTTCATGTAAATTTGTTCTGTGTGAACGAGCAAAATTGATTTTACTTAGGCGATATTCCCTGAAATTTGAATGTGGGAATGTGGAAAAAAACACATTGTGGCAACTAAATAATGCTGAGCAGCATACTTATTTCATGATAGTCAAGCATCTAGTGGCCATAATGCAGAGTGGTCAAAAGATGGTGCTGACTATCATAGGAAATAGGTTTTCTCTTCAGTGCCATCCAGTAGCCACAATGCAGTATTCACACAATTGAATTGCAGAGAATATAGCCCATGAACATAATGACCCATTTGCACAGAACATATTTATATTCAGTTTCAATGGACAAACAGCTTTGTGATTATTCTTTTTTTATAAATACACCCCGTAATGTGTGCAAATAAAAAAACTACAGTTTTTAATCAGTGCCATTAAAACATTTTATTTTACAAAGGCCATAATCAAACCAGGCAAATAAATTAAAGTGTATGTAGAGGAAAAAGAGTGGTGAAAGATTAGACCCTCTGTCATCACTGGTTACATGAGTTATTATCCAACTCCTTAAGTAAAAACCATTGCTTGTTACGTGCTGATCTCACCTAAATATTTTCACTAGCAATAGTCTAACTTCCCTACCTTTACAACAATCTGACCGATGCTCACTGTTCTCCTTCTATTTCTCTTGTATCTTGTATTACCATTCCTGTTGAATTGCTACTATTAGCGATACAATCTTTTCTCTTTTGTTTCTTTTCTTTACTGCTGAATCTTGAAAAATGTGTTACTCTTGATGTCACTTGTCATTATTACTTTGCAAAATTCAATAAACATATTGAAAAAGAAAAAAAAACATTACTAGACAAATTTGCACATCATAAGGTTTTGTTGCTGTCATATATAATGTAATGCCAGCACTACCAGGAGTCACCACTGTGTTTAGTTTGTTCCATGTGCAGCATGCAGTTGTTTGAAAAATAGAGCTGTCTAAAGATGGTAATTTTTGCATATCAGTAAAAAGAAGTAAATGAGTAATAAAGCAAGCCATAACTGACCTCTGAAGCTACTGTGTTAAAGTCAGGC